GGAGATCTTGTCGAGTCTGGGATCGATTCACAACCACCGTACCAGGTCCGTGAACGTGTGTGGTAGGTCGAGTGTAATATAGTGACCAAGAAGAACTGTCCCTGCCCTAGCTGAGAGGGTCTATGTCCCCAGGCCAGGGTACTGCCGGAACGTACCCTGGGTACGGTCCGTATACCGAAACGTGACCCTGGTACTATCTATATAAGTAATATGCCGACCGTACCTCGCCTACTCCACTAACGAGGTCTAGGGAGTCGCCTACGCCTACTCCCTAACCCTAACCCTAACCATATCAGATATGAGATACTGAGATAGTTGCCACAACCAGGGTACGCTTCCGTGTATACCGGCGCTACCCAGCGCCCAGGGTACGTTTCCGGCCAGTACCCTGGAGGACATAGACCCTATGAGCGCTAGTGAGGGCCTGCTCCTACATCGGACACAATGATTTATTAATATGACACGCGCGCGAGAGTAAATTAGCACGGCATTCAATTCAAGCATAACGAAGTTCACACGATCACCTGACCTGTGTCCCTTTTCATGATCCGGGAGGCCCTAGAAGTATTGCTCTGCATTCTTGTGGTTCATCATAATCACGCGTACTGTGCCGTTTTGCTATGTTGTGCCATTCTGCTTGTCAAAATATAACTTTAGAGGCGTTCAACCAAGTTACAATGTCTATGCCTACAAAGTAGTAGTGTAACCTTCCACGGCAATTCACGTAGTGTGCGCTACGTCACCTACGTGACAGAAAATATGTGTGGCGCACGCGTTAGAATACTACAGCAACCGGTTACCTGGATAATTAACGTTAATGATTACCGCTCCTGCTCGTAACGCGCCGCATGGCCTACTCACGGGGGGTAGATTCATCAAGCTGCGTACGCAAAATATTTTGCGTAAATTTTGTACGCAATCGACGTTGCTTAGTTGCGATTCATCAACACAGCTATTTAGTAAATTTGCGTACGATTTTCGCGTACGCAAGCCGAGGGCCGTTTAGGTGCGATTCATCAGCTAAAATTTACGTAGCCTTTCGGTAACTTTACACGAGCTGACGAGGTGCCGTAAACATTCGAAATTTCCGCAGGTGTTTCCAGCATACTGCCAGCATACATTATTTTATTGAGAAAACATTATAAAATTACTACTCAACTAAAAATTAATAAATAATTACGATACTACACAGACAGCGGCCGCCTTTGACGCTTCTTTTGTCATAGCTTGCATTGTTTTTCGTTATAAGCGAATTCGTAGTTAGCCGTGTACGTGCACACGCACGCACGTGTACGTGCACACGCACACCGCCGCTGCTACACGCCGCACCGTGTACGTGCACACGCACGCACGCACACGTGCACAAGCACGCACGCACGTTGTACGTGCAACGCACGCACGGCACACGTGCACAAGCACGCTGCCACGTGTACGTGCACACCACGCACGCCGTGTACATCACACGCACGCACGCACGCACGCACGTACGTGTACGTGCACACACACACACACACGCACGTGCACATGCACGCACGTACGCACGTGCACACGCACGCAAGCACGTGTACGTACACACGCACGCACGCACGCTGTACGTGACACGCACGCATACACGCCACGCACGCAACGTGTACGTACACACGCACGCACGCACGCACGTGTACGTACACACGCACGCACGCACGTGTACGTGCCACACGCACGCACGCACGGGCATACGTGCCACATCACGCACGCACGTTTCGTGCACACGCAGCACGCCGTGTACGTAACACGCACGCACGCACGCTGTACGTGCACACGCATGTACGTCTGTACGTGCACACACACACCACGCAAGTGCACATGCACGCACACACACCGCACGTGTACGTGCCACCGCACGCACGCGCGCCGTGTACGTACAAACGCACGCACGCCGCACGTGTACGTGCACACGCACGCACGCACGCACGTGTACGTGCACACACACGTGCACATGCACGCACGCACCCACGCACGTGTACGTGCACACGCACGCACGCACGTGTTACGTACACACCACGCCACGCACGCCCGTGTCGTTACGACACGACGCCACGCACGGCCCGATGTACGTACCACGCACGCCACGCACGGTAGCGTGACACGCACGCCACACACGCACGCAACGACGCACGTGTACGATACATGCACGCACGCTCGTGTACGTGCACACGCACTCACGCACGTGTACGTGCACACGCACGCACGCACGTGTACGTGCACACACACGCCAGCCACACGTGCACATGCACCCACGCACGCACGCACGCACGCACGCATGTGTACGTGCACACGCCACGCACGTGTACGTACACACGCACGACGCAATGTGTACGTGTTCGCTGCTTTCACGAGTGTGAACGCAATCATACCAAACGAAAATGTGGGACACTATCACATCCCCCAGCACTCATGTAGACAGAGAGGCGTCAGTTTGGTTCCTATCGGTATGTGTCGCACAGTTGTGATTTGGTTTATGCTAAGCACGCTCTCAACAGCCAGCAGCCACGATGGCGTAGTGGATTTACACTGGAATTACATCAACATTTGCGTACGCAGGCGCTACGCTGCGTCGATGAAATCGCACCTACGAGCTTTGCGATACGCTACTTCGTAGAAACTCGGTGTACGCAATACACTTTACGCAACGTTGATGAATCCGGCCCCAGAGTCAGTGTAGCGAACGCAGTCAAGCGTAACATGACGACTGGTATTATACAGGTTACTGTTACAGGAACGTTCGCCTAAAATGCCGAGGAGTGCATGTGCCTTGTAATGCAGTTGTTTTGTTTCCTGTTTTTATTTCTTGTTTTTGATTAATTGGTTTGTGAATTGCTTGTTTTGGTTTTGTTTGCATGTTTACATGTGTACTGAGTATGTGCAATGGCTGTTGTCTAATTGGTTCTATATATTTTTTATTTATATTCTTTTTTTTTACGGCTTTAACGTGTGATGGTAGTTGATGGATTGTATTTGCGGATTTTTCCAGGTTGTGGAGTCGCTGGTTTCGTGATGCGGCCTTTTTGTGGATTTTCGTGTGTGTGATTTGTTGCCTGCTGCTGAGTGTTGTGTGATCTTCATTGTTGTGCTTTAATTATTCTTTCCCTGTCAATTTTGTTCAGCTATGCGCTCTGTGAGCCGCTTTTCTTTTCTGATAGTCTATAATCAGCGAAAAAAATACACGGGAGCGGCGAGCGATTTCGCTCCGTCAGCTTTCAAAGCGCTCTGGTAACACACAATTACCGAGAGCGAAAATTTTTGAAGATGCGAGAAAAAATCGCTCCCGTGCCGCGCAGCGTTAGAAATTAGTTCCGGACCGGAGGCCCAGCCCACCAAGTTTTTGCTCAGCCCACCATCTCTACGAAACTCCTGGTCCTCTCTGCCGGCCACTTTTTCCCCTTATATTACGCTGACATACTACGGTTAGCGTCTGTCTGTGTGAATGAAAATTGAATAAGAATGTGATTGGTTCTTAGTCGAGTGAAATAAGATAAAAAAATGTGATCGAATGTAATTTTGTTGACGATTTCTTGGCACACTGATATATAGTCTGATACTGTGCGAATGCGCACTGAATGCCCTGATGAAGATATTAGAGTCAGCCCGGCATTCAAATTATGAAAAATTGCCGAACAAAATCATGCTATGAAAAATGTAGCTCTTGCCAAGGGGCCATTTAAAAAAAAAAAAAATTTTAGCTCCCTAAAAAATATTTACGAGAGCCTCTCTTTTTTTTCATACAAAATCAAAAAGGCTCTCGCTAAAAAAAAGTAATTTTTAGCTGGTCTATATACTTATATATATATATATATATATAATATAATTTGGCACTAAATAGCTGTGTTGATGAATCGCAACTAAGCAACGTCGATTGCGTACACAAGATTTACGCAAAATATTTTGCGTACGCAGCTTGATGAATCTACCCCCGTGAGTAGGCCCTAGCGGCCGTTACGAGCAGGAGCGGTAATCATTAACGTTAATATAACAGGTAACCGGTTGCTGTAGTATTTCTACGCGTGCGCACACATATTTTTCTGTCACGTAGGTGACGTAGCGCACACTACCGTGAATTGCCGTGGAAGGGTTACACTACTACTTTGTAGCATAGACATTGTAACTTGGTTGAACGCCTCTAAGAAGTTATATTTTGACAAGCAGAATGGCACCAACAGTAGCAAAACAGGCACCAGTACGACGTGAATATGATGAACCACAAGGAATCAGAGCAATACTTCTAGGGCCTCCCGGATCAGGAAAAGGGACACAGGTCAGGTGATCGTTGAACTTCGGTTGATCTTGAATTGAATGCCGTCTAATTTACTCTCGCGCGCTGTCATGATTAAATAATCACTTGTGTCCGATGTAGGAGCAGGCCCTCACTAGCGCTCATAGGGTCTATGTCCTCCAGGGTACTGCCGGAACGTACCCTGGGCCTGGGTACGGTCCGGTATACCGGAACGTACCCTGGTTGTGGCAACTATCTCAGTATCTCACTATCTGATATGGTTAGGGTTAGGGTTAGGGAGTAGGCGTAGGCGACTCCCTAGACTCGTTAGTGGAGTAGGCGAGGTACGGTCCGGCATATTACTTATTAGATAGTACCAGGGTACGTTTCGGTATACCGGACCGTACCCAGGGTACGTTCCGGCAGTACCCTGGCCTGGGGGACATAGACCCTCTCAGCCTAGGGCAGTGGACAGTTCTTCTTGGGTCACTATATTACACTCGACCTAGCCACACACGTTTCACGGGACCTGGTACGGTGGTTGTGAATCGATCCTCAGACTCGACAAGATCTCCAGCTAGAGGTCTGCAGTACATGGGCTCTCTGGCAATAAGGGGCATTCCAGGCGATGTCCCATAGCATAGTCTATATAGTTGTTGGCAGAAAAAAATAGGTACAATACATGGTCAATGGTTGTCCGCACGCAGACGTTATAACTCCGCTTTGCTAATCTGAGGGTGCAGGTTTAACCATTAGTCATTACTGGGGTCTGCGTCGGCTCGGACTAGGTCAATGGTAGCCGCCACACGGTGCCAGAACACACTATATTCACATGGCTTTGTGGCTTTGCCCCCCCCCCAGGGAAAATGGGTTAGATACGCTCCCTAGGAGAATGTTATTACATCACATATCAGGACAGGAGCAACAGTATGCATGATCTAGCTCTTGCCAATAGCTAGTATAATAGGCTGCAGTATTACTATTATGCCCTGCTCAGGTCGCCCTACGATTTGACTATCGGCGCGACTACTTTATCGCCGATTAGCAGCGTAGCAACACTCACGTCGACTTGAAGTGACTTCAAGCTGTATATCGCTGAACAGATCGTAGCGTTCTGCAGGAAACGTAGACGGGTTTGCGCCCCTATTATTTGTACTAGCACAAGCAGTTCTTTAGCACAAACAGAGCAATTAAGCTTGACGCTGGGACCAGTCTACATAAAACGAGTCACATGACCAACAAAAAGGCGCTTACCAGTAAACATCAGGTAACTTCGTAAATCTATCCTCAATTTTCTGAAAATCGTTATAATCATGTGCAGAAAAAGAATTTTCCTGTGATATACGGAAAACTTAATATATATTTGAGAAAGGGTTTGGGCAATAATCCCTCCTTGTAAACTGCTGTGTGGGCTGCCATTTTGTTAATCACGTGACTTTTGATAATCATGTGACTCGACACGTAGCGGTGATTGGCTGCCACTCACGATTTGTCGCCGACCGCCGCATAGAATTAGAACCGTTTCTATTCCTGCGATCGCAGTCGGTGACCGTATTTTCGATCGTAAGAGAATTAACTCATGTCGAGTTTAGTCGCCGATGTTTTTAATGCGGGATCTGGCCGGTTTTTGACAGGTACGATGCTTCAAATTTTGTCGGCGACTAGGTCGTAAGGGCGACCTGAGTTAGTCTTTAGATTATGCTTTGTTGCTCCATTTGTCATTGTCACGTGTGGATGCAGAGCGTGATGTACCGGTATATCACATTTATGAATATATGGGATATACATGAACTCATGATTTAATAATGTTAGAGAGGGCAGAAATGCCAGTAGCTTGACTTCCATATATGTTTTAAGATCTGTTTCCTTAATAGGCACCCCTTTTAGCAGGAACGTATGGTGTCTGCCACCTATCTACAGGCGACATGCTACGTGAGACTGTGTCGTCGGGGTCGGATCTTGGAAAGAAAATTAAGCAGGTATGATACTATACAGGGTTTCTTCTACATAGGAAGCACTACGGCGCACCGCCGCCGTGTTTCAAGATTTAACATCGCCGGTGTGAAAATAGTTCCTGTATGTTACCGGCTGTGTTATCACAAATAGGGTCATATCAAAAATATAAAATCACCACATGCTTTCTGACTATATACATGTAATAAGAAATCGTAATGAAATTTAGCAGCAACGATATCATTTTGGCCGTGCGGGCACCTCGTGTGGGCAATTCATGATTGCAGCTTAATTTTTCCTCGATTCCGAGAAAGTTTTGCTGTCGCTCCCTCATACCAGTGGTACCCACCCCTACATAATACAGCGAATAATAAGCGAGCGCCCACGATGTAAACATGCGTGCATTCTCCCCCCCCCACCACCCCGCGTACTTCAATCAATGCCGGCCCAGGCCAGCAGGCACAGCCTGATTGTGCACTGCCACACGACGTTGGGTAACAGGAGTGCGCGGTTTAGCTCAGCGGCCGAATGTGCACATGATGGCGGGCGGGAGCATTTTGCTGGAGAATGGGCATTCTTGGAATATAATTGCTGAAGGTTCAGAATTATTCAAAGCACGGACATTCCTGAATATTTGGCTTTAAAAATATGTATTTGCAGTACACTATATTCTTTAGGCATTCGAAGAAAAGAAGACAAAATTAAATTTTAAGCACATTTAAAAACTTTATTCGAAGTGTTACCGATACACGTTTTTCCTTTTTGCGGAATGCGTGAGAATCCGCGTTAGGGGCATGCGGGAGTGTGGGAGAATGGGTCCAGATGCGTGATGACTTGAGTAGGCATCTGCTAACAGAGGAATGATTTAAACGGAGAGAAGGTGAAATTTTATTTTCAGAGTGCCATCAATGCGGGATGTCTAACTTCTACGGACATCTTTCAAGTAGAAGAGAATTTGCTCGGGGAAATACCCCAGAACCCCCCTCCTACGGCTCCCCCGCGGCATCTGCCTCAGAATCCACATGCGTGGCCTATTCATCTTCATGACTAATTACTGGATTTAAATGTGAATATTTGTATCATTTCATAGTATTCATGAGTTTATTGTTCGCTTTTGACAAATTGAAAAGAGATTCAGGTCTCAACAATGTTTCAGAATACGTTAGAATGAACCAAATTGCACCATGTTTAATTCAAAAACTTTCCAGGGGAGCAATGCCCGCCTGGACCGCCTAGCTGGCGAGCTCATGGCGGTGCCGCTTGGCTAGGTCCTCGAGCCACGCAAAAAGCACGATACTTTGAATCCATTTATGCGAGTTTGTTCCCAAACGGCCCATTACCGTCCATTGTCTAACTTTTTCCCCCAGAAGAAACCGTGGCTATGATACAGTTATAGTGTTGTATGCAGTAGCTACGCGGTTTGCTCGTCCATTACAAGAAGCTCAAGCACACATTCCCATTCGCACGTCACGATTAGCCACAAGCCCGCTTTCAAATCAATTGATTTACTGGATTTACTATTGCTTCAAAAGTTCAAAAACATTTTTTTTGGATAAATACCTAAAACGTACGTAATATTATGGTGAGAAACACTATTGTTCTATTGTTTTTCTGGGAAAATAATCAGTATGGGTTTACATAAAAATATATGACCGAACGCGTAAGCCTGGGAGCGGGGCGTCCGGTTACGGCACCGTAGACACGGCATATATTTATTTACTGTAATTCAGAATCACATAAAACAGCATACCGTGTGTGTCATCCAAGCAGAAACTAGCACCATGTATATACCGTATAGCAGTTGTGACACATTGATCGAGACAATTCAAACAGCTTTAGTTCTAATATAACAAGTTGTTCTGCTCAGTAATGTTATTTTGTGTAGGGATTTTTGTGACTGGGTTGCCTGGTGGAGGCAAGGGATGATTGCGCATACGGTAGAGAACATAATTCGTCTGGTTATGGTACTTTAGGCCAGAATGTGATGCTGAATTCGTGTATGCAGCTCAAAATGCCTAAGTTCAAATGCTCAAAGGCCTAAATTGATACAAATAATCGATGTGCAATGCACAATTTACAGGTACCCAAACCTCTTGTAATGGCTGAATTTTAACTCTACTATGAGCTATGGCAGTGATATGATTATACCAGTCTCTAGTGAATAAATAGAGATCTCGTGTTAGAATGCTTAGAATCTTTTTGATTCTAGAATTTCTATTAATTCACTCCTGATTATACCTTAAGTGATGGGCATATGTGAAAAAAAGCTGTGTTTCAAGGAACATTAATTATACTATCTCGCTGGTGGAGGCACAGCACATAGCCAATTATTAAATGATTGATCAGTGCATAAAAATGGGTAATTATTGGCCAACTGAACACTGCCCAGCAAAAATACCAAAGTTACTGCAGGAAGTTTAGATTGACTCTTAACACATGTTGCATAATGTCCTTTGTTAATATGCTATGTTGTTATTTACTCCTGTTGAAATGTACGTTTATTGTCATTCTACTTCTGATGAGTTGACGGGTAGGTCTGGAACTATGCATACATACAGTCATACTGGTAGTTACTCTTGCGAAGGTGATTAATATGTACATATCCTATGTCATCTCAGACTGTAGAAGCATTTTCTGTGGCATTAATTTAACATTAGACGCATTTGAATTCGATTGTTTAGATTCACGGATTCATGATGTAGCGGCTTATAGTCGACAGAGGTGTTGCTGTAGTAAACTCCGACTAGTATTGTTACTGTGGCATTTGCTAAACTACATCCACACCTGCTTTTATAAAGGTAATGGAAGCATGGAAAGCTGGTCAGTGACAACCTTGTGACGTGGACAGATTGTGATGTATCGACTTAGATCAACCCCAATGCAAGTATGGCTTCCTTGATGGATTCACGTACTATCAAGAAGCTGAGAAAGGTCACCATAATATTCATTAATCAAGGTTTCACACGATTAACGACGTTTTCTTGATGTAGTAGTAATTAGTAGAGGTAGTCTGGTAATGTGGTAGGTAAGTAGTAGTAGTAATAGTTGTAAGTTGTAGGTAGGAGTCGTAACGAATTAACACTATTAACCTCTCTCCCCCTCCCCTCCTCTCACTCGACTTAATAATAATGGACAAGCGTACGATGCCTATGTATATGACGATTATCAAGGGGAGCAGCCGGCTTTAGAAGGAGTACTATCGCCCCTAATATCATTTTACTAGAGTATATTTGATAAGCCAAAATGCGTAAATAATGAGCATATATATTATATATTGAGCTATATTACATTCAACAGTCGCCCCGCGTGGCTGGACGCCGCCCGTCTTTGTCATAAAAAACAGCATAGATTCGAAAATCTTTACTTGACAGCTGACGAACGCAACCATGGCGATTGTGCCTAAGCGCACCCCCCACCCCTGGAATGTGTGCGGCATCTGGCAATTTATTTTGGGCAGGTTATCAGACCGAGGGAGTACATCGCAAGTGCAATTATATTTATACCATACCTAACTGCTAATTAAGCCGGAACGATTTTTATTTAGGAGCAAATTTCAAATCCCATGATTATGAACGAAACTGAAACTAAGTGGTCGTTATATAAGATATTGGGCAATCGCTAAAATCGTGTAAATAAATAAGAAAGCAGCCCTCGGTCGTAGGCTTGCAGCTGAAACGTCTGCACTATGCCCAACTTTTTTCAGCTGATATGCGCTCACCCAGTGGCAGCTAACTGGTCGGTTTGTAAGCAACAACTATACGCCGTCCAAGTTTTAAACATTTAAAAAATATTTCTAATGAATATTGAATCATAGAACATTTTTATGCAGCGTCATTTTAACCTATAATTTTAACTGAAAATATCCAGAGAACTAGAGTAATGTATCCCTTTTAAAGCTGGTGGAGCACAAGTAAGGACTGTACCTCCACTGTAACATTCTGATTCAATTCTGCTCGTCTTCTCTTTTCTTTCTAATTCCTTCTCTCGTCTCTTTCTTCTTTTACTTCCGTTGTTGCCAGAAAAGAAATTGTACCAATAAGTGTTGCAGTCATGGTGCCAAACATACTACTGTTACATACAAGACAAAACTCGACAGTCAAATATGCATTTCGGCATTCATGCTAAGTTAATGACAGCGCTAAAATCCGCGCACACGTGGTATATTTGACGCATGCATCATTTACTGTGAGTAAAATTACTCCGTGTGACGGCGCGCGGTAGCGCGGCGGGGGCTTTAGGATTATATAGTAGATCCTTGCTTTCCACTACATGTTGGCCGCCCTCATAACTCCTTCTTCGCTCGCGATTACATTCACCCTTCTGCAAAACTGTGCAGCAGCTGGTAACGTCGTCATGTTTCATAAACCTGGCCAATTCCATGCGATTACATCGCACCTTCTGTGAAACTGCATGGGCACACTGTACTGCGTGCCTCCGCTGGCTTTCATACCTGCCTATTCTCCTGTGATTACAATCGCACCTCCTGTGAAAATTGGCGCGCTGTAACGCTAATGTTTCATTAAGCCATGCCTATTCTCCTAGCACGATTATCATCTCATCGCTGAGCGGAAACACATGTGCGCGCTGTTAAACGTCTCATCGTTGCAGCATGGTTGAGCTTCAACCTCCTGCATCACTACAGGCCAAGCTCGAGAGCTGGATGCTGTGGATTGGGTTTGCCATCGATGATTCCGCATGCTCGTGATATCGCGCGGACCGGGCATCACCGTCGCCCTCATCCACGCAAGCCGAGCGGCCGGGCAGGAAGCGTATA